CAGACCTTTGTGGTTTGGACAGCATGTGATGGTCAGGCAGAGTTTGAGGTGCTGTCACACATCTGCATTATACAACTAAGGATAACATTATCCTTAGTTGTATTATTTTTGTTCATTATGAGCCCGTAAATGAGCTCTCACATGATCAAATTTCAACAGATGGATTCATTTGAATGTATATATTGAGTATGATGTGACCAGGCGCACATTTTATTATAAAATGAACTTTTTAAATGTTGTACCTCATCTGCTTTGCTTGGATAATGATATACATTAACCCAGAACCTAAAGCTGCTGTTAGGAATATTTGTACTTATTTAAACAATGGATGGACTGGTATCATGTGTAATGTGCTACAGTAGGGGTTGCTCATAGTGATGAACCTACACATAACCCTAACCCTTTTTACTGACGGTTGATTTTTATTCTAACAAGACAATAAATCATCTTGTTCATATATTGTTAGCAACATATCGTTAGCAACATGGCGACAATTAGCAGCCTGGCTATCTTTTGCCAAATATACTTCCCACTTTAAACATTACTCTGGTTGTTCAGCACCTGGGGGAACCATTTTTAAAATTGTAATTTACAATGCCTCATAGCGAAATGCTCGAGCTTTTATGTCCAGGGCTTTTATTGTGAAAGGGTCTTCGCAACTTGGATAGAATTGCATCCTGAAAGGGAGTCATATAAATAACTAATCTAAATGCCTACATTATTCTACAGCCATTCTATGTGCAACAAAACAATACTTCATATGTAAAGAGACACCTTTTCATTTTAAGGTAAATTTGTTGTCAACAGTGCCATTGACAGTTTTGTTTACACTTTGAACATTGGTTGAGGGTCATACTATATTACAAACTATATTAGGAATATGCGTGACACACTTACATATTGGAAAAAACTACCCGCTGATTTTGGACGATAGGAAACCCCAAAATTAAAGAAAACACCTGCATGCGTGTCGTAATGGAGTGCTGGGATATTAAAAACTGCCAAAACAGCTTTAGTATTGGCTCTGATTCAATATAAAGCATGTGACACCTATTTAAATGATCCCACTGGTGTTCATTTGGGTTGAGGTCTGGGACAGCCAAGAGGGTGTTTCCATTGCAGCTGAATGGGCAGGTTGCAGCACCTGAGCAGATGTTACGCCTTTTTAAAGGTCCCCTATTTTACTGTTTTTCATCAATATATTATAGTTCTCAGATATATACAAAACATGTCTCTGTGTTTGGCTCGATATACCAAACAGATCATTGTAGCATCCCATAATCCCCTCTGTTTCAGCCCTGTTTCAAAAGTGCTGATTCTCTGTCTGTTACTTTAGATGAAAATAAGGAGCCGCTCCCCACGCCCCTCTGATGCCCCTTTCACACCAACGCGGTTCCAGGACCGATTCGGAGCTAGAGCCTGATAAGCACCGGTTTTTCCTCTTCACACCTCAGCGGAGCCGGCTCTTTTCCCCGAAAACCGGTTCTTACCAAGCTCCAAAAAATTGTCGGTCTAGAAGCAAGAACCGCATACGCCACGCTTACGTCGGAGGCGGGGGCAGGGGCAGGGGCAGGGGCAGGGGCGGGATCAACCTGAGCAACGAGTACGGCAAATAAAAGTTGTAACAAGCAGTAGCGCAGAGCAAAGTGACAAGAAGGCAACCACACACTTGTAAAAAAAACACACTTTATAAAGTCAGGCAACACTAACCAGGCTTCTTGTGATTATGTTTATTTGTACCTTACTTTGACCATCCGTTCGCTGTCATTGATCATTGTGGAGAGAGGCAGACGTTTTGTTTTGTATTATAGCAGCTATCGGATGGAATCAATACATGGGCTGCACAGGTTGTCGTGTCCGACTATCACAAGTAGAATCATAATGAAAAATATGCCGGTAAAATGTGCCTGTAGAAAACGACTTATGCCACAATAGGATAGCAACAAGTAGTCAAGATATTCAGTTTAGCTTTGGTTGCTATGCTAACATCATCCATTTTATACCAGAGAAACTTTCATAACAGCATTGTGATGCCAAACAGCAGGCAGCACTGCAGTGGTCGGTAAATGCCGCTGAAACACATGAATAAACAATGAACCACGGCACTCTGGAGAAAAGTATAAGGTTGGAGAAGTAGTTGTTTAATTTAATCTGGCTTCGTACGATTAAAAGCAACACGATCATCGACCCGATGCAGTCCCCCATTGTTGTTGTTGTGAGTGCCGTTGGGGAGAAAATCAGCGACGTAAACAGGGCCGTCATGACGTAGCAGCGGCAGCACCAGTCGGGCTCTGGGCGGTGTGAACAAAACGGGGGCTGAAAAGAAAAACCGGTTCCGAACCAGAAGAGCGCAAGCACGGAGCTAGAACGGGAACCGCGTTGGTGTGAAAGGGGCATGAGAGATATTTGGTTAAGCACAATGGTGCTTTAGGAGGAGATTCAGGTGATAAGGTGTGTGTGTGTGTGTGGGGGGGGGGGGGTTACCTTGGTTGCTGATTGGCTAATGGTTACACAAGCCAACAATCGTTATGACATCATAAAGTGGCCAAAATCTGATCAGCTCATTTTCAGACAGGTTTTTATAGAAATGGATCAGGACAAAAAGAGAGTGAATCTTTTTTCCTGAAACTTTCAGAGTGTTTTTACACAGGGGACACATGTTTATGAATAAAAGACAAGAACAAGTGGATTTTGCATAATAGGTGACCTTTAAAGAATTTAAACTAGTCCAAGTGCTGACACGTAACACGGTGCAGAAGAGCACTGTAAAAAAGTCCTTTGGCTTCCAATGGGGGTGTTAGCTGATTATATCAGAACACGCCCCTTCTGTCGGATCGCCTTCCCTGTCCTCACAGGTCCTGCTAGAGGTATGATATCGGATGACACATTCCCACACCCCCAGTCAGGCATGGGAGAGCGAGGTGGGGGGGGTGAATTCACACGCGCCTCGCCGCCTCTGTTAGAACTGGTCTGCGAAGATAAAGATGCAGACACCTACGCATATGACCCGCCTCGAGATGTCCTTGCGCACGTAAACTGTAAGAGTGGAAAATGCATACACAAATGTACACTGAGATAAGAGAGGGGACAAGCTGAGGCTTTCCACCAGATTAAGATGACTATCAGATTCTTGTAAGGTAAAGACCAAAAAGGTTTCTAGACAGTTAAAAGATATATGGTAATAGAGAGAAAACAGCTAGCAAAAAAATGAATAGTTTGTTGGACAAGAAGATCACCTGAACTGTAATTATGAAGCTATCGCCAGTGCCTGGTTAGTTTAGCTTAGCATACATTTAGGCAACAGAACTAGTGTACTGTAGTTCTAAGCATTCCTTGAAAGTCAATACCCCTCAGATATTGAGACCGTGTAAGTAGTCCTTGACTTTTAACCCGGAAGTTTCTGTCATGGATGTCGGATCACACCACTGTGAGGTCCTTAAGCTTTGGGAAGTGTCTGTGATGGTCATGCTCCCATTATTACCCTCCCTAGGCTTTTACAACACCCCAATGATACTCATATTCCACAGGTCAACTGAGAAACGGTGAAAAATGGGCGTCAAAGTTTGGCAAAGTCACATGAATGGTCTGACAACTGACATTTTACAGTCGGAAAGAATGGCTTCACACATGCCTTACTGGCTCTTTTAGTCACTGTGTGTGTGCTGCACTTCCACTAAATCTGTAACTAATCCATTTCCCACAAGAATGAGCCTCTCTACATCTCAGTATCACTGGTTTACGACACAACATCCACATGCTCAGCTCCGGCTGGCGAGTAAACAAACATGTGTTTGTGATGTTTATCGTCTCTGGCTTGAGGTTTTACAATTTAGCATACAGTTTCATCATGAAAAGTACTGTCGAACCACCGCTCAGAGCACGGTGCTAATCAGGGACAGATCCGGTGTAACAAAAGAATGTATGTAAGAAAAAATTAAATCCAGCTTTTGCCAAAATATGTCGGAAATAGAGTATGTTACAGATATGGCACTGATTGTATTGTGTAGTCCTGAGGCTTGGAATCCATTTTAATCTCCCAAAAAATGCATGTGTATGGAAAACAATAACTTCTATATTTTTAGCCATCAGACCATTTTTAACCCAAAGGGACAACCTCCCTAATTGCACGTCTCCACCCATGGTTGGGGTTTCAGAGCAGTTTGCTGGTGGTTTTTGGTCATCAATAGCTTGTATATACCAAGAACAATTGCTGTTTGAAAATCAACATTTTATTGGAAAGAAAATGAAATGGTCTCATTCACTACATATTCAGTCTGAATTTAAAAGAAGGTGGAAGGACATTTTGTCAAAGTGGTGGTCCGTGTCACTGGGTGGCTGGTTATTAGTGTCACAGGCCATCACCTTCAGTCTGGATTAAATCTTCATGAAGAGCCTGAGCAATGTCCCAGACTAAACTCCACACAACAGGATTTAGTGAAATGCGTCTAAATTAGCGTGTGATTGTGCCTTAATGCCTCTGACTGAGGTTTTGCCCCTCCCTTCTTGGCCATGTGAAAGCAGCGATCATCCAATATAAACTGGATCAGGTTAATGGTTTACTAATGGATGTTATTGTTGAGTAATAGACAAATTCACCGCCAAGTTTTGACATGTGTTTGTGAATTGGGATGAGCAACACTTACACTGTTTTATTAAGCTTGGCGGAAGGGTGTAGCATGGGAAAAGGAAGAACCCATTTTGGAGTGGATCCAAATTAGAGAGCGGACGATTTACCCAGACATTATATGGGACATCCCAAACAATGCAATGGACAGATTTGAATGTAGGCTACCTAACATGTAGGTTTCAGACATGGGTTTCATGGAAAGAGAGAGATACCATTCTGAATATTATTAAATCAAATACAACATGTGCCACTTTTAACGTGACTTCCTGTATAAACCCCGCCTACTTTTTGTCTTCCATTCGATAAAGATACTGAGAAGATACAGATATGTACGTGTCTGTTAACATCCAGTGCATAAACATGTCATATTTACATTTTTGGGAACAACAAGATAGCCTTTACACGCTTATCCGTGGTCGGGTCGCGGAGGTAGCAGTTCCAGCAGAGAGCCCCAAACGTTCCTTTCCCTGGCCACATCAACCAGCTCTGACTGGGGGATCCCAAGGCGCTCCCAGGCCAGCGAAGAGATATAATCCCACCACCTGGTCCTAGGTCTATACCCCTCTGTCTCTTCCTAGCTTCGGCATCCTTGGTGCCCAAACCACCTCAACTGGCTCCTTTCGATGCGAAGGAGGAGCGGTTCAACATTATCCCTAAGGGAGACGCCCGCCACACTGCGAAGAAAACCCATCTCGGCCGTTAGTATCCGCGATCTCGTTCTTTCGGTCATGACCCATCCTTCATGACCATATTTTTATTTAGATTACTGTAATGAATTTAGGTGGCTCCCAGTGAAAGGTTAAACGTGTATGTTTCAGCCTTTGGTTTCATGGAAAGAGAGGCTTAAAAATGTCACTGCCAGTGAATATTATTGAGTGAAATACAACATTTGCCTCATGTGACTTCCTGTATACACCCGCCTTCTTTCTGTCTTCTATTCGGATACAGATACAGATATTTACATGTCTGTTCACATCCAGTGCATACACATCAGTGATTCCCACAGCATGTTAATACTTTGGGGGGCCCCCAAAGTATAATGGCTCCCCCCAAAGTATAATTTGTGTGTTTTTTTTATCAGTGAGCACTCATTTGCATTGGTGGCAATGAGTGCTCAGTGAGTAAAAAAAACTTAAAAAACCATAAATTATACTTTGGGGGGAGCACCTGGCAGCATGCCTCCGAATATCCATAGATGGACCGGAATCGGAACACTTTCCATACCAGAAAGCCCTGGAGAGGTTTTTTGACAAGCCGCGACGGATCCACTGCTCAAACAGGCTGTGCCGTCTGTGCAACCATTACGTTTGTTGCTCATTTCATTCACCAGTTTGTATATAGTTAAAATAAAGTTATCCGGTGATTGACGATCAGATACCAGTGTGGAGTTTTCTGTCTTAAATTTGATATAGATCATGTTCTTTGTTGGTTTGTGAGGATGTTCATACACACTTGGTAAGATGTGTGTGTGAAAGAAGACCACAAAAAACAGCAGTGACTGCTCTCAGCTGTTTAACACTTAAAGACCTAGACACCATCACCAGTTGTAGGTTGTTTGAAGTGCAGTGTTACTATGAAAATTCACTAGAATGCAGGAATTGAGAAAACAAATCTCAACACCCCGAGTCGTTCCCCCAAAGTACATTTCATTTCTGCGGGAATCACTGCACATGTACAATTTTTGTATTTCATAAAGGTTGTATTTTTTATTTTATTATTTAGAATACTGTACCGGCCAAACCGGAATAGTTTTACATTAAAAATGAAAAGACAACAAATCTATCAATTGGAAAACACAACTTTTGACAGTGTATCCTGACTGCAGGCTTTCCATACGGAGGCATAACAAAGCTTTATCTTGCGATCAGACTCCTCAAATCTCCTGAGCCTGGCTGCTTTAGACCAAACGCAACTCCATGCCAACATGAGGTATCCTCCATCTGACAAGAGTGACACCAACACTGGAAAATACTTCATGGCTTGAATGTACGTGCTATATTAGAATTAGTTACTGGTGTAGTTGGAGACACTTGAAACATGAGATAAGGAGGAAAACATTCATTATCAAGTCCTCTAAGATTGGAAACACATGTGTACATTAACATGCCTGTTAAGGAAATCTTTGTCATACGGTTCATCATCAGCCGAAGGAATCCCTCTGCTTTGTCTACTAAAGGAACCTCAACGCGCTTTCATTTTGTGCTTCAGTGTGAATCATTTTGTAAGAGCAGCTGTCACTTCAGTATTTTCTTAAATGATGGATTTTTTTCATCTATGCATTCGTTGAGGCTCATTCTGCACACCTGTTTGTAGTTTAATGAATCAAAATATGCTCACTTGCAGATACATTTTTTAAAATCCAGACGCATGCTCTTTTAATGACCTTTTTCTAATATAGGCATTTAAGCATAATGTACTGTATGCTCTCCAAAAGTCTACTATTGTACAGATAGTAAAAATGAAAAAAAGCACTTTTTTGTACAGTTCTTAACCTCAAATGTAGTCAACCCAAACCTAAAGCTTACAGGTAATCAACTTAGCTTAAATTCTCCCTTCAACAAATCTCATCGACAACAGTTTGTGGTTTGCCAAGGCGTGCCGACAGCACACTATCTCTGCAGCAACCCTGTCACAGATCCATCGGGGAAAGGAAGAGCGTGTCACAACAGATCAGACGTTTGTTAAAAGGCAGAGTCGCACGCTAATGGCAACAATATGTTTTCTCTTCCTGCAGACGCCCAAGCAGCCGATGGCCATGTGCGATCCCGGCTAGCTCTGCGCCTAACCTGCAATTTTCCAAGGACAACTGTGGAGGTGGTTTCCACGCAGGGGTGAAACACAAACATGGGGGCATCATTTGGAGGCTGTGTGCAGTTCAGGAGGAGTTCAAGGGAAGCAGGGCATAATTTTCACAATTAGCCTTGCTGTAAGTACTGAGGCCTTTTGCCATGATTGAGGCTTTTGGTTTTGAACTCAGTGTTTAAGAGCTCCATTATGGCTGAATCAGAGCTGGTTTGACCAGTTCCCGTGGTCTAATTTATTCCTAGTTGCTTTGTCCCGGGCTAAACTAAACTTCAGGTGATAGATGGGCTTGCATGTCTGCAACTGTTTTTGATTGAATGAATCATAACAAGCTCATCGGGTTTTTTAAAGACACGCCAGGGTGGCTAGCCGATGGAAACATCTGTTTGTTGGAGTCTGTCCACCACCCAGACCTCATTCTCTTAAGATCTGTTGAACTGGTTTCCACTTGGATACTTAGATTTTTGCCCCAAAAGGAAACATTTGGTTATACTTTGACTTTGTCTTCTCCCACTGTTTTCACTTACCGAGTCAAATGTGTAACCATCTACTGGAAGAATTGCCACAGAATTAAGTGGTGATCCCCACATTTTTACTTTGGTTCCACCATGAGGTTGAAATTAAGTAATCCAAAGTGTTAGATTGTTACCATAGACCATATAAAATAAATGGATGGTCGGTGAGTGCAGTCACCATGACATCACCTATTGGTGTACGTACCACAGTATAGAAGCCTCAAGTTTTGCATTTTGTCTGTATCTTGTATTTTTTAAACAGAAGTAATTAACATTTAGATAAGGATGTGGAGTTGGGCGAACATGCTAATTACTGAACAACACTATGGTATCAACACAGTGGTATGAACTTGTCTGTCACAAGGTAGCCTGCGTCATCATGTTTCCATTTCTTAAAGGTGGGGTAGGTAAGTTTCAGAAACCGGCTCGAGTGCACTAAAATTTGAAAGTACACAGCCGAAAAGAATCCGCCCCTTCCTTCAGACTTCCTTACAGAGCACCTCCTCCAACACACATGAACGCGCACATGACGTCAGCAGACTGGTGAAAGTGGCCGCCTGTTGCTGGCGAGTCTTTGAAGTACTGCTGCAATGCACGCCCAATGACGGCACGCCCAATGACGGCACGCCCAATGACGGCACGCCCAATGAGGGCACGAGATACATTTGTGCGTGCACGAGATGGAAGGCTGACAGACAGGGCGGCAATCCAATCCGTTTAGCCGGCCCGGCTTTTTACAGTACTACGGCTTCCACAGATGAATTTTTTTTATGGATTTTTTGTCAAAGCACTTAAGATATTCATTGCTATCGGGATGTTAAGAGCATTCCATGGAATATAACAAAAAGTGTATCTCGAGCCGGTTTCTGAAACTTACCTACCCCACCTTTAATGGGAACAAAATGTACACAACGTACATCATACTACCTTGTAGAAGGCTGATTGTACCGCTATGCGAGAGATGTTAATACGAGCATTGTCTATGTAGTATTTTACCATGAAATGGCCATCTTACTGAAGGCATTAACTTGTTGTTAGAGGGATTTTCCCGTTTTTTCACTTCCACATTGGGTTCACTTTTCTTCCTTGGAGGTCGTCCCTTAGTTGCTACCTTGACCTTATGGATCACCCAAAGGTGCTCTATTGCGTTCTAAATGTCTTTATTGGTTGCAGGGTGAAGAGGACAGATGACAAGAACAGGAGGAGTAAAGGTGCCTCTCTGTCTGTCAGATGTTTTATACATTTACTATCTCAAATCCAGATGGAAGAGGTTCGTTACGCAGCCGGTCATATACATTCTTGGAACATAGGTTCGGGTTAAGCATGGAGGGAAGGAAACCAAGGGTCTTCAAATATTAAAGACTCTAACCATGGAAACAGCGTGATATGTTTCTTCTTAGACAGCAGAGGAGACACACAGTTTGATGCATTTCCTTCCGACATAAATCTTTGCTTCACCTTAAGATTCAGGGTTGAAAGTAGGATCTGGACGCTTTTCACACCTCCTCCTCTCCTTCCGTAAAGGTGCGTATCCAAAGGAGGAAAAAAAATCATAAAGGGAGGGCGGGAGGTTTCATGGTGCTCAGACAGGATGGGGAGGTTACGGCAACTAGGAGAGCAAAGGGCAAGGAAGGTAGACAAGGGTGAGAAAGGGGAGACAGAGAGGAGAGAGATATTATGAAGTGGATGGGAGGCGGAGAGGAGGAGGGAGGAGGGAGGAGGGGAATGCTTTAAAGTGTCTGGGACAGATTATCCTTGGAAGGCAATCAATCTTCCCTGGGATTTCGACAACTGCAGCAGGGCGAATGGACACACACACACAACACACAACACACACACACACACACACACACACACACACACACACACACACACACACACACACACGTAGTACATGCACACAATGAGAGATCACCCCTCTTAACCTCGTCTGTCTCTCTTTTTTGAAAATCTGTCCTTCCACCTTCCCTCTCCCTGAACCTCTCTCTTTACACACTTGAAGTTTAAAGTCAATTGTAGATAATAGTGTTGTTTCTCAAGGTGTGCGTTTGATCCGTGCGGAACATATGGCTGCAATTTCGGAAATACATGGCGAACACAGAGAGGGAGAGACAATGTGGTGCAGGGGGTTGTGTTTCGGGGGAACATGAGGGTGCGTTTAGCTGAGTGGAGAATGGCAGGATCCATGTGAGGGCTGGAAAATAAAGACAGTCTGCAGATGGTTGAATCACAGTCCTGTATTGTGTCAAAAATAAACTGTGGCATCCTGGTTCGAGACATCCAGGATTCTCCAAACAGAGCACTATTTTTCCTTTTAGATTAAAGGGGCCTTATTATGCTATTTCCAGGTTTATTTGTGTGCCCCTACTGTGACATGTCTCTTTAATGTTCAAAAAGCTCTTTATTTGTCTCATACTGCCTGTGCTGCTATCCTCTTTTCACCCTCTGTCCGAAACCAGATTTTAGTCTGCTCTGATTGGTTAGCTGGCCGGCCCTGTTGT